TTTTTTTCAGTGTCTAACTTCATTTTTGTAATAAAGAAAAAAAAAAACAAAAAAAAAAAACTCGCATACACACGCATATTATGCGCGTGGCTCCATTTATCAAATGTAAATAAAACCTCCATGTAAGGATTACCCTGTTGTTCATGCAATTTGATCATGTTCGAAAAAGGGTCCAACACGATGAGAGTGACATTTTCTCCTCATTCAGACACCACCTAATCGTGCCTAATGGAGTCCAAATGTTGAAATATCCTCCCAACAGTACTATTCACTTTTTCCATCTCGCGCAACATCAAGTCGACTCCCAGCTCGCTGTGTAGCAGCCGCTTGTACAGAGTCAACACCTGTTCGTTGTGTTCAGTCAGATTAATCCGGAAGACCTTATCCACAAAGGTGGCGGGGTCTTCTTCGCGAGGGACTCCCTTGGTGACAGATTCAACATGGGAACAAAATATGTTCAGCGAGTTCCCCTTGTTCAAACCTACCAAGTACTGTTTGCATTTCTTTATTTCTATCTTTTGTAAATAAATATAATTTAAAATTCTCTTCCCAATATTTTCATTCATGCATAGGTTTAGGAACATAGCTATGGACAGCAAAGTGTGACCTACGCTTTGCTCTTGGTCTGTACGGCCCTCCTCATGTGAACACCCTTCTGTTAGCAGCCATTCGTACTGCTCCACTTTGGCTTGCAACTCCTGTAACATCCTGTATATGTGTGTCTGCCTAAGGGAGACGTAGTTTTCATGGTTCCCTTCTTCTCCTCCTCTTCCGTCCAGTTTACAATCTAGAAGGATGTAATTGCTTCCTTTTACCTGCCCGTTTTCCTCCTGCCCCCGGGAGGTAACGCACCGTTTTATGGTTGTTAGTTCGTCAAAATTGTCACGGAGCTGAGCAAAGCTTAAATACAATTCGGTCATATCATCACCAGAGGAGCAAACATTTTTATTACTATTGCTGAGGTCAATTTTGTTCCTAATGGTGCGCCTTACCTCTGCAACGGCGTGCCGTATCTGATCGACTCTTTCGAAGACATCCCTCCCAACATCATGCCCTGAGGGCAATCCCAAAAGAGTGTCGCCATCATTTCCATTCTTGCTTCGCCCCTTTACCCCTATCCGTTTTAGTTTGTCCATCCCCGAAATGGATTGCTTAGTGTCTTCCTGATGAAGGTGGATCTCCTTTCCTGCAAATCTTCTAAACGACATGACCGCGTCCGTACCTTTGTATACAACTCCGGAGTTGGTCTTCTCATCCCTCCAGTGCTTCACATGATTCTCTTCCACCACTACTACGCAACCTCCATTGTTTTTTTTCCCTTCACATATAAAGGTATCGAACTTTTCTTCATTCACGTACTTTGCAAATTTGTCCTGTTCATATGCCTCTTGCAGTTGTTCATGGACCTCTTTTTGGTAGATGCCAATTTCGAGCTTTTTCTTCCTTTCCGTGAGAATCATTTTGGTGGTGTGTTTCTGTTTGTATGTGTGTGCAGGGGGAGTACATGCTGCTATGTTGCATAAATGCAGGGGGGGGGATTTTTTAAGCCACTGTTTTACCTCCCCATGGAGGTCATCACTGAGGGGTGGGGGTGGCTAACGGGTATACATGTACGTCCAGTAGGGGGAAGCAAAACGAGCTTCGTTTATGTACCGTTATGCGCGCAGTACTGATCTTCGATCATGCACTCTTCGCCCACTTGGCAAGCTCGGCGTTGCCTTAATTAGGGGCGTGGACAAGGAACTAGCTGCTAAGACGGCACTCACAAATAAAAAAGACGCACATCCATTTTAAGTGCTAACATGAGCCATGCTCAGAAATATTTTACGCCCCTCTTTATAGAAAAAAGAAAAAAAATAAGGAAAAGGCATTTTTTTTTTGTTTTTTTGAGATTTCCCCACACAGTCAACGCCAAACGGTGTGCAGAACTCCGTAACGGATTTTTTTCTTCCCATTCAAGCAACGCAAATGAGCTATATATATGCCGCTTATACATTGTACATTTTTTTTTTTTTTTTGGTGTGTGTGCTCATTTGGAACGCCTGTCACATGTACGTGGCTTTGTGTTTATTTACATTTATTAACTCTGGACAACGAATCGGTCTGCCAGTTGACGGTCAAATGGAAATAAAAAAAAATTTTTTCCAACTCACTTGGTAGACAATGTAACTTATACAAACGACGAAAAAAAACGGGCATTACAACTAAACGGTGGGTGCAAACGCGCACTCGGGGGTGAGAGGGAGAGGGTACTCGTATAAATCATTGCAGGGCAGGGGGCGGCTGGTACCTGTTTGTATGCGCGATAGGGTTAACCACATAGGGACTTCCACTTGGATTGACGAACAATGCATACACTCACCTCGGATAAAGTGACGCTCCCAACAGTCCCCATTTCGCATAACCTTAAAGGAGCGCCTACGCAAGGGCCGCAAGAGCAAAAACAAGTGCGACGTGTTGCCTCCATCATTTTTTGCTGACCAGGTCAGGTGAATTTTAACCGCGAAAAAAATAAACATAAAAAAGAACGTAAAAATGAAGCTCAAAATGAAGCTCAAAATGAAGCTAAAAATAAAAACGTTTTCTATGTGCCCGCTACGTGACGTACGCGCAGACACAAAAACACACGTGCTTGGCTATGTCCACGGCGCGCACACGGAAGAGACGTCCCCTCATTTCAGGGGAGACAGGAAGTTAACTCGAATGGCCCACACCTCGTCGGTGACTTCATCACGTACCACTTCGCACAAATAATTAACGACGCAGTCTGAACTCGACAGACAAACACAGCCAATGGGCATGTCAATAAAATCAATCACAGCGACAGAGGACGACATGGTTAAATTACAAATTTTATCGAACCAAGGATAAAGATTATTCATATTTTGGTTAAATAAATTGTCCAGCTGTTCCCTACTGCTAATATTTTTCATTCCATGCTTTTTAAACAGAAGGTCAGCGCTATTCTTTATGGAGTCCATGCAAAATAACCCAACCTGTCCACTTTCAATAGTTAAAACATTTGTAAAATAATTTTCCAGTGGCAAAAGTTCACTGTTACTAGTATAAAAATTCGCTGCCTTGTCATTTTTGAAGTCGGTATGTACACTGCTATTACACTTGCCTGTTTCACCACCCCCTAGCAAAGTTTCATTTGGCTCCAACCTTTCCCATTTTAACATATCCACCTTTTCCACAGTTAAATATTCGTGCATGTATTCTGTGTTATTAAAACATATGAATGAGAGGACAATTTCGTTTCTTATATTATTGTATGAGTTTTTGTCGTTCCTATTTGGTATGTCCGTTTCGGTTTCTTGATTGACCATCTTCTTCAAAAACGCCTGGTTGTTCTCACGAATAGCAAAGGAGGACCATAACCCAGGCTTTGCGTTTTTAAAATAAATCCCATTTAGCTTTTCCGTCGGCAGAAGTTGCTCCTGCCCACTTATGTAGCTATTGCAGTAGTTCGTCATGGTACAATTTATGTATAGGGGATCTATTAGCAGCAACTCATTCATCTGGGTGATGAAGCATCCTGCGTCTATCAACTTGGCGTTCGTCATTGTTCATTTGCTCTTGTTTAGGGTGATGGCGTGGCATGTGTGTGTGCTCCCTTCAGGTGCAACAACAGACGAGTGTGACGGGGCGAAACCTTTTTCCTCGTGATGCGGCCTAAACTATAATAGCCTTGTTCAGGTGATAAAACGTTGGTGACTTCATCAAACGGGTGAAGATCCTTCACACACAAGATGGTGGCAACTGCGCTACCCCTATGGGGAGAAAAAAAAAAAAAAATGTCCACTTGTTGGGTCTGCTTTATTTTTGGTGCAAACAACAATGACCTGTGAAATCCTCTTGGCATATTTAATTCTTCTCGAACGGAAAGAGGAGGCGAAGGAGAAAGTCATTGGGCGCGCTCAATAAACTTACAAATAGGGTTAAAAAAAAATGCGCTTCGGACGTGCGCAGAAGTTTCCATTCACAAGGTGCACCATTGCACGTGTCGAGCAGAGCAAGTAGCTACTCAATGCTGCAACGAACGTGTGCGCATGGGAGCGCATGACCCATGTACATACATAAGTGCATATGTGCGTCCTCGCGTCCGCGCTGGAGTTTCGCGGGGCGGAGCGATGAACGGCTCACCGCGTTGCAGCCCTTCACACCTGTTGTCCGTCACGCGGACCTCTTCTTGCACGTGCGCATTTCGAAGCGAGGCTTTTTTACACCCCTCGGGTTGGTCGACAGGTTAAATCATTTTGCAGCGTCATTTTGCTGGGCAGCTCTGGCGCGCCATTTTTCCTTCAGGTGCAACTGTTTTATAAGGGGGGTAACCATCCCCTCCTTGGGGAGCTGAAAGGACGAGATGTTGCGCTTTTGCGACATTTTGTTGTACTCATTCATTGGGGAAAAAAAAAACACTCCGAGTAAACCTCACGGAAAAGACACCCACATGCCGACCAGATCATACACAACCGAATGGTGTCCACAATCTGCCAACCCATCGAGGAGGAACTCCCCGAAGCTGCTCCGTAGTTTATTTGTACAACTACTTAAGGGAGTAGCGCCACCCTTTGTGACATGCATATATGTCACACCCCCGTTAGGGGCGACGCGTTTCTTGTGTGATCCTCCCTAATGGATACTGCTCTGCAAAGAGGAGCCCGAGTTCCATTAAGTTGTTCCTTTTCAAACGTACCTCATATGCTATTTTGGGAAAATTTTCCATTAGGTTGAACTCGTTTTGTGGGGAGGGGGAAAACGATGTTGGCGAAGGTGCCCCACTGGACCACTGCGTCCTTGACCTGTTAGCCCATCTCACTGTAGCGCTACACGTAAGCAGATAAACGAGTGGCTGTTTCACCTATGCGACTGCCTGTCTGTTCAGCCCACTCTACATGTAGCAGGGAACAAAAGCATTATGGGGGGACGTCGATATGGAGGCCTTTTCATAAACAAAACAGTGATGTAAAAGGAAAAAAAACGCGAAATCGAGACGACCTCCTGTTCAACGTAAAGGAATTTTTCCTTTGCCCCTCTCCCTCCAGGTGACACACCATTCACACAATGATCAATTATTTCTTCTTCCTCAAAGGTATACACATCCCCAAGGGAAGTATTCAAAGAGGTGAATGGCACTTTTTTATTGGCTCGGTCGAATGTGAAATGTGCTCGTCTCTAATACAATCCTTGTGATGGTGTCGACAACTTGGAGCCACGCACAAGTTGGAAGAAGTGGTCAAGGGGGGGCGGCTGTGTGTGTGTTACGAATTTACGCCGCCCGTGAGTACGACACCTAGTACGCCTGCGATGAATGCGTGCGAGCAGCGCTGTGTTCGGGGCGTCTAAAATGAGATAAGATAAGCTATGCAAAGTTAAAGAAGGAGGGGAGGGCAAACCCCACCTATTACCCCCCCTTCCAATGGGAACCACTAACAGAAAAAAGTGGAGAAAGCAAAAGGTCCCATTTGGGAGCAGAGTTAAGGTGATGGACGTCGACATGTAACGCGTCTGTGCATGCGGGGTGGTAGCTCACGAGGGGCTAGCAATTTGTGACTACTCCTGTCAGTGACTGAGCTGTGCGCGTTTATAAAGTATCCTGTGCGCAATGGGAGGAAGGAATGTCTTACAGTGTGTAAAGCGTATGGAGGGGTGCCCGCACAGAAGAAGGACACCACAAATACGTGACGAGGTTTACTCAGAGGCGGGGTGGGGAGATAATAAAACTCAGCCCATTTACTCTTCTTTAAATTATACCGCAGGGTGAGAAGCTGCTATACACAGAAGCAGCACAAATAAAAATCGCTGGCTATGGCGCACAAACATTTGCTTTGTATATAAAATTAAAATCATGTCAGCATCTATGTCATTATGGGTTTCTTCCCCCCGTTTGCTAATTTTTTTTTTTTTTTTTTTTTTTTTTTTTCGTACATACGCTGTGTATGCGCCAAAACGATAAACCTGAAGGGGGCTCTAGTAGTCACGGCATAAAAATATGCACTGCCACGCTTCCCATCCATTTTGCAAAATGTAAAAAATTTGCATTCCTCATGGTATGCCCACCTTATACTAGGTCCTCATAGGAGATACATATGACAAGTGCGTCCCACATCACTTGAGTGGAAGAGTTTGCGTCATGCCGGCGAAGCTTTTTTTTTGTGCGTTTCAATTGGAAAAAAAAGATTGCCCCAGCGTTTTTTTTTTCCCCTCACGTGCATACCTCTACATGGGCACATAAGCATATATGCCCTCACTTGTACACTCATATGTATTACATAAGTTCATATGCTTATCCATGTGACATTTGCTAAGCGACTGAGGAGTCATATGCAATCCCCCCCCTTGCGCTTCCCCTTTCCACGCGTAACGTTGCTCACAAGGGACGATTGCAAGAACTACTGATATACATGCATTCATGTACACCTACATGTACAAGGGGAGCATGCCATTTTCCTGTTTTTTTAATTTCGTTTAAGACCTGTGAATAGAGCGGCCCAGCAAGAAAGAACATGAAAAAAAAAAAGACAAAGGATGAAAAAGAAAATCGATAAAACGGTTACGTAAGGAAGGAGGGGCACCTGCAAAAGTGTGCAGTCACGCTTATGTAGACTGGAGAGGTGGCCCCGTTTGACGTGCTTCCATGCAACGGGGGAAGCGGTGTATTTGGACATGAATAGCCCCACATATATTTTTTGCACACCGTTTATGCAAATACTTGTTCCACCTCCCCTTTTTATTTTATTTTTTTTTTTTTTTTGCCTGACTTGTTCAGAAAAAAAACTATATCATGGGATGAAGTCACCATTAATGAACAAGACAAGGAAAGAGGCTCAAGGATGAAAATCTTGGAGCCAAACACACCGTTCAATTTTATTTTGATGGTATGCCGCGTTCTCCTTGTTGTTCGTCAGTGGACGAAACTTCCTTGTGTATACTTATGTAGCATATGTTTGTGCTCCACTTGGTCCAAAGCCCTCTGCACACAGTTATATTAAAACTGCCATCCTTTTATGCAGGATAGCGCTTCGGAAGATGAAGCCTCTAAGTTCGGAGACTCAAAGGGACAAAGCGAAGTGCAGGTGAGGACTTGCGCCCAGTGTCATACCGGAGAGTGCGGCAGTGGACACCTTGGTGCAATCACTTTTTCTTCGTTTGTAAATATTGTCGACATGAAGTGGCCTTTTTTTTTTTTTTGTGACCTTTTTGGCTGATCCATTTGAGTGGACGACGCCTCGGTGAATGATCGAACGAGAAAATAAATACGTCACCTTCGCGCTCGCTTCGCCCATTTCCCCCCAGGAAAACAACATTGCTGATGACCTAATAGATAAGCTGAACCAGCTGGTGGAGAAGCAGGAGAACAAAGCCGTCGCCAACATTGACTTCAAGGAAAAGCGCAAGAAGCATTACAACGAGTACAAGATGCTGCAGAAGTTGAGGTACCGTTGCGAGGGGTTGACAATATTTGCGGTCGTCTGATATTATTTGCGGCCGCTTGTGCATATTTATGACCGCTTGAGAGCAAGGCGGGGTGCCCACAACGTGTACACGTGCTGGTAGGTACATCTTCATACGCGTGCTTCCCCCTCTTCCTGCACACAGAAAGTCCGGAACGTTTGACGAAATCGACGAAGAGTATAAGGGTGAAGAACATGACTCGGGTGAGGAACGTCCGAACATTCAGGAAACGGAAGAGTAGACGGGGGTGAAGTGCCCCAGTTGCCAAATGGGAGGCGTAATATCGCCCCTCACCTCCATAGCCAGGCGTAATGGGCAGAGGACGAAACCACGCCTTCAAAAAAAAAAAAAAAATTTCAACGTGTCACGTGTGCCCCCACGGAATGGGGGGTGTGTGTATGCTTGCTGAACAGACGACAAACATAAAATTTTGTGTAATGTTTTTTTAATTTTTTAAAATTATAAAAATTTACCCCTGTCATTTATGACAGCTTATGCCCCTATGGCAATTTTTCTCTTCATTTTATTAAATCACAAAAAAAAAAAAAAAAAAAAAAAAAAAAAAAAAACAGCTGCGCGAAACAGTCATCCCTGCAGCAGTAGATATATGGTTACTCTTTCCCTTTTAAGTGGACATGAGAAATGCCCACTTTGCCTCTTTTCTTTTTTACGCATGCGGGAAAATAAAAAACACGTATCGTGCATACATTTTCTCTTTGCAAAACAACTGTGCGGCGTTGAATTGGGGAATTTTGCGATGAACGCGTGTCAATTGAGGCCAACAGTTTTGAATAAATATCTTCTTGCATACCGCGAAGGGAAGAATACTCCACTTCACTCTTTTTTTTTTTTTTTTTTTTTTTTTTTCCGCTCACCTTTTTTACGTTTTTTCCTTTTCACCGCTGCGCGAACAAGGGGTTTGAACATTTCCTTTGCGCTTAGTCTCTTCAACGAAGAGGACAGGGGCGTTCTCCAGATGAGCGCATTTGCTTTCAGGCCAAGTTAAAAACAACGAATAATGCATACCCCCCCTTTTCCATTTGCGCATTTGTCCCAATTTCCGCGTTCTGTGGCGCTAATGTGAACTCATCCGCATGAACGCATACGTGGATAAGCACATTTTATCGGCGCGTTACATCCCTTGAAAATTTGTATAAACATTATGATTTACAAAAAATAGAACATACGAGTTGCACTCTGAATGTGTACTCCTGGACACACACATGTTTGTATCTCCCTTTTTTTTGTTCTTTATTTTTTCCTGCCCCTGTGAACATACCATGTGTACAAATAAAGCATAAGGAAATTTTTTTTCCATCATTGAGTTTGAAGATACTACGTTGCATAACTTTTTCTTTACCATCCCACTGAACCAACACCCATTTGATTTAGAAGAGCAGAGTAAAATGTGCGATGTGGTACTACTGTGTAGAGTTAGCGATGGCATGACTTTGGTCGAAACGAACAGCGAGTCCAAAAATATTGCACACAAAATAGAGTTGAAAAAATTATGTAAGAGGCTACAGTCTTTTCCCAGTTTGTCTACCGTGACGTCCAATCAGTTCAATTACCAGTAAGTGTGTCGAGACATGAGGCGGCAAAGAGGAAGAGGAGGAGCAGTGAAAGAGATCGAGCAGCGGCGAGCCAACAACATATAGCTTAACAGATTCACACTTATTGCGGTCAAATGGATTAGCACATAAAATGGGCGAAATGACACCGACTGCAAATCCACTTGGCGTCGCAAATTCTCCCGCCCTCACCGAAGTAGACCAAACAAATTGTAGTTGCCCCTGTGGCTAACAGCTCTCCTCTGCAGCTGCTTTGACCCTCCCCCATAAGACCGTGCTCTTTCACGTGTTAACCACCATATGACCCCCCCCTCCCTTCAGCTTCCTCATCGAAAATGGAATAGCCTACATCGCAGTTTTCCCCGTTACCTACCCGAAGAAATTAGCCTTCTTATTTTTAAACGACATTTGCAAGCAGTTCAATGAAGGTTACAATCTATTCACCAGCTCGCGTCGCTTCCGTCTTGTTGTTTCCTTCGTGTAGTTTTGTGTCGCCAGTCCCTTTTTATGCCTGCGTTTGTTTTCCCCTCATGTTGAATTCCCCATTCCCTCTTCACAGAGCTGATGATCCAGTATGGGACGCACTCGATAGATTACAGGTCCATCATAGAGACCATCGAGAAGCCCTACTCCTTCATCAAATTCGGTATGTCACCATTGCCTGTTGATCGAGAGAAATATTCTGCGGTGCAAGTTGGACGGTGTCCTTGTAGTATTCTCCCATCGTGCACCCCCTTTTCACTTCACATTGTTTCACCCCCGCCCTCCCTCCTTTCCTTCGCTCCCATTCCCCATACCAAGACAGAAAAATTTCAAAGATCAAACAGGAGTACAAGGACCCTCGGTCCAACATTGCTATTAAAAAGCTTAACGAAAGCCTAAACGAAGTCAGCAGCATAATGAGGAAGAACATAGACGATATCCTTCTGCGTGGAGAGAATCTGGAAGGTCCGATCACTCGCCCTAGCACAATTGCGTGGCAACAACCTTTTGTTTGTGTCTCTTTGCAATTGCAAACATGTGTGTAGAGAGTTTCCTCAACCCTCCCCATATCTCCCTCCTTACACCCCTCCTCCTTATTCAGATGTCGGACGGAAAGCCTTTAACTTGAAGTACGAGTCGGAGAAGGTACGCCGGAGTTGCACTTCCGTTTGGGAATGCGTACAAACGTGTGTTTTCGTGTGTCACAGCGCATTTGAGGGAGATTGGCTTGGTGGCAAAATGTATAACCCCAAGTCTTCTCGTCATGTCAGCATTATGTCCCCCTTGCACGTTCACTACATCGTCCCCACTTCACCATTACGCAGTTTAAAAAGGTCTCCAGAGTGCTCAGCCTAAGATATACCCTGTACCAATACGGAATCTTCGCCTTCGTAATTTTCTTTTTTTTTTTAATTATAGTTTTTAAGAATTATTTTTAATTGCCTATCTATGATGATCCATTTAAATTTTTTTTTTTTTTTTTTTGTGTTTGTATCAAACTTTACTTCCCCCCCCGAAAATGTGTATATATATGAGTTTAATCATTTTGAAAATATTGGAGATAGGTCGTGGCAGCGTAGGTGAGACTGCCAAGGGGGATTTCCAATTGGGGAATGCTTGCATATTAACACGTGCTCGCATGGTGAAAAGGGCGCTGGGGATAGCATAGAACAGTCGCTTGATACGAAAAGGTACGTAGACATTAAAAAAAAAAAAAAGGCCTGTTCACCTTTTTCCACATTCCTGGTAGGAAGGTCCAATCCGAATTGCAACGTTGGTATGTCTTTATTCGCGCGGCTGATTCACCAGGACACTTTTTTTGTTTTTTTTTTTTTTTTCGTAATTGTGTAACTACATACCCACGGTGAGGTGAAGCACTGCAGGAAAAGAACGTTGCAGGAGAATGTTCAATTGGGGGTGCTGCACATGCGCGCTACCACCCTAAGGTTTTCCCCATTCCTTGCAAACACGTGTCCACATGGAGGAAGAGACGCACGTAGCAACGCATTCCTTACGACATGTCCCCACTCTGCGTGTGTATGTGTAACCCCATTTTGTCTTCACATTTTTCTACCAACTTTTCTTCCTGACCCGTTCAGGTAAAAAGTCGCACTTGTCAGCCATGTGCACACGCCGCTACGCCCTCAACCGTATCGTCATTTGCATGTCGCCATGACGACACGGGTTACGTTTGTTTGGTTCGCCTTTGTTTGGCTCATCCTCTGTGTTGTCTTCCAGAGCTGCTCTGGCGAAGTAAACGCGGGAGATAAAAACGAAATTTCGCACAAAAATGAAAAAAATGAGGAGGTTCACCAACCCGGGGACAGAAAAATACGCAAATACAACTTTGGCTCTTTGAAAAAAAAACTTCACATAGAAAGCAAAGAGCAGGGGGATGAGGAACGGGGAGCTGAGTCAAATGACCAAAAGGAGGATAATCAAAATGAGGGAGAGGCAGCAGTTTCCACGGCGAAAACGAATGCAGGGCAGGAAAAACTTTCTCCACAAGACGCATATGCAACGTGCATCGGTATGATCGAAAAGGAGTTTAAAGGGGAGGCGGATGCAAAAATTAAGGAGCAGTTGGAAAATGTGTGTACAAAAAAGCGGGAACAGGATGAGGCGGAAAAAGCTGCACTCGAGGCAAACGACGTTAAGTCGAAGCTAAACGAAAAGGCGCCACTCAAGTTGCGCACGCATGACGGCGGCATGGACAACGACAGCACGGAGCACGACAGCAAGAGGTACATAATTTCCCAACTGGGACTCTCCACGAAACTGGACGTGCCACTTGACGTCTTGAAGGAATCCCTGTCGGAGGTAAAGAACTGCGTAAGGGATTACACACAAAAGTGCCCACTGAACTGGCAGGTCACCGACACGAATGAAATGCTGTGCGTAGCCCCAGAGTCGTACATAGGTCCATGTGCAAAACAAATAAAAAACGACCTAGACGCAGATGAAAAGGTCCTAATGGAAAAGAAGTGTTCTATATTTTGGAAGTGCGATTATAAGTGTATACAAGACTTTGAAGATTCCGTGTGTCCCATTGATTGGGTTATGCAGAAGGAAGATCAGTATGGTTATTGTGTATCCCCAGAAGGCTACACAGGAAAATGCACACGAAAAATAAAATTCAGTACTATGACCAGTAAGGAGAAAGTTATTTACTCCAACTTGTGCGATCTCAGATGGCCATGTAAAAAAAATTGCACTCATGATTACTCCGTTTTGTGTCCATCCGGATGGATCGAAGGCGCAGATGGATACTGCCTCGCAACTAGTAGCTATACTGGAAATTGTGAAAAAAAAATTTACCTAAAGCACCTCGATGAAGTGATGAAACAGACTTACGAACATAAATGCCAATTCAATTACCCATGTGTTCACTCATGCGAAAAGAATTACAATGACGTGTGTCCAAATTTGTGGATCCCTGTGAACGAGAAGGAATGCACCCCCTCTGAAAACTACAACGGTAGGTGCAAGCATAATTATATTTTCAAAGGCAAAATTACGGAAGAGGAAAAAAAAAACTTCGAAAAAATGTGCCATGTGTCCTACCCCTGTGTTAAGGATTGTAAAAGAGATTACTCCTTTAACTGTCCCATTGGATGGAAAGAAACGCTGAGCTTTTGTCTGGCTCCCACGTCGTACCGATACAGTTGTGAAAAAATGATGAAGAACAATATGACCGAGAGGGAAAAAATACAAATTAGCGCCAAGTGCCTCGTCTTCTGGCCCTGCTCCAACTACGAAGTTATCCTCAAAAACCTCCTGCACAGCAACATCTCCTCGGCGGATTACATGTCCGTGGTCAATGGGCCCGTAAACGACGCCACCGGCGAGGTTGTGCAGCAAAGCGGTTGACGGGTAGAGTGGTTTATGCGTTGATCGGTTCAGCGGGGGTGTAGTCAATACGGCGATGTGGCACGCCGGAATGGCGAACACCCCCCTGTGTGCAATTTTTTTTTGTTTACACAATTTATTTTACGTAGCATTCCTCCGTGGCGACGAGGATCGCCCTCACCATTTTGTCGCCTCACAGTTGTACGGCCCGTCACCTCTAAGTTTCCTTTTATAATTGTTCCCATTTTTTTTTTTTTACACAATTAACCGCGCGCAAAGGGTGCTGCGGTAAACACGTAACAACTGGCTCTTCTGCAAATGGGGGGCGGCGGGCGTGGCCCGTATGCCTTCACATATTGCGGTATTCTCCTGGAACGCCCCCAAAGGAAGGTGTATAGCTTGTGCGTACAGTGACGCAATTGGGAGAGGCCTCAGCTGCTTGGAGGCATACCCCCGTTGAGGGAGAACCAGTTTTCCCCCAAGTAACCACGGCATATGGGCGCCGCAACAATACAAAAAAAAAAAAAAAAAA